CGCGCGGCGCACGGTAACAGCTACGTCACGCCGTGCCGCTCGGCGTTACATACGTTATATACATCAATACATGTTTACGCGTGCGCGCGCGAATGACGTTGTACGGGCGATCGATGTTGCGCGCGGGTTCGCAAGTACCCGGCCTTACCGAGTTATCGACGAACTTATGCGACACGATAGATAGCGGTGCGCCTTTTACGCTAAGCGCTACTGCCTTATTACAGAGACCTAGAACCGGCACGGAGGCAGTCCTGTTTACTCTACGGATTTATAGAGATCTGTAATGTTAGTACGCGTCGGACGTGTAGCGTCCCGATGTAATTCGCAGCTGAGCTTTTTTTGAGGAATCGCAGCTTCTTGAGACCCGCCGTCCTCTTCGAACCGCGACTTCTCTCGACGGCACGTGAACTCCGAAAGATGCTCGAGCTTTCCGCGTTCCGATCTGAAAACGTTCGACTATGTTAGAGAAAGGCAAGATAAATTTTGTTAGGTTTTGATTGTTACTAAATTCTAAAATATATACTACATTTTTAATATGTCGGTTAAGCTCTACTTATCTTATTAATATAATTAATATAATTAAAGTTGATAAACTGAAGATCTTGATATCAATGTTTTAGGTTTTCGAGCAGGATGGCCTGCCTAACATGATATGTCATCCCTGTAAATATCAGTTGGAGAAATCCTATCAATTCAGAAAAAAATGCCAGGCTGCGGACTCCAAGCTCAGAAAGCACATGAAGTTGATACAACAGTTGACCGGGCAAGACGAAGAAGGCGAGAGCCAGGATAGCAGTAGGGAGGAGTCCCAAGAATCCACGGGAAAGTCCAAGCAAGTTAAGCAGCTGCTAGCTGATCTGGTTTCAACGAAAGGCAACAGTGGTCAAACAGATGGAGATCCTATCGAGGTGACAGAAGAGGAACTCGTTGGTGGTTATATCCTGGGTGTGTTACTGACAAGGAGTTTATTTCATTGCATTATCGATATAAATGGGCCAGTTTCCATTGGCTTTTTAGAATTGAAAATTTCATTAGAAAAGATGGCTTAATTGTCATTTTAGAAACTTGTATTTAAAATTTATTACTCTGGTAGGAAGTAACATTGAGAAATGTTTATAAATATTTAGTTCATATATATATGTATTGTTATTAATTGATACGCAGGAATGGCTTCTGAAAATCCGGAGTTGGAGGAAAATATTTCGGAGGATCCGGAGAACATCACGCTGGTACCTGCTGAGGAACGAATGGCGAAGGCACGCTGTACGATAAGGACGTCGCGTATCAAACAGGAGCAGGAGTCCGACGACGAGACGGAAGAGATGCAGCGAGGAATAGCGAATGATCACAAGAATGTCTACATGATGGAGGTCACCAGCGACAATCCCAATGAGCCCGATTCGTTGAAGTTACAGCCTATGGGTGACACAATTGGTAAAGAATTCTACAAGAGGTTATCTGTAATGGAAGAATGCGACAGTTACATAAAAAGACAAATGTATATTGCAGTTGATGCTAATCCGGAATTGAAGGTGTTTAAATGCGACAAGTGCCCAAAAGCGTTCACTCGGAGAATAATGCTGAAGAGCCATCAGTCGGTGCATTCTACACAGAGGGGATTTACGTGTCAGGCGTGCGAAAAATGGTTCCCGACAAGATCTGCGTTGGTGAGACACGAACGTACACATACAGGTTGGTATTTGTTATTTTGTGTGTATTAATTATGGATACATATATATGAACTAAATATTTGTAGATATTTTTCTCAATATTATTTCTTCCTAGAGATGTTAACTAGCTTATCTGGCTAGCTCGCTGAAATTGCCTCGAACAATTTGCCTATTAAGAAAAAAATCTACCATTTCACATTTATGATATTAGGAATTTTAATCACGCAATCGTAAAAAATCTTCTTTTTGAATAGATTGTTTCTTTTTAATATGTCACGTAGTGTTTGTTTATGAGTGTTGAAAAATGCGCAACTATTAAATTTATTATAGGAATAATACAATGTTATCTTTATTTATATTACAGGCGAGAAACCATTTGGTTGCAACATTTGTCACCGTGCTTTCGCTCAGAAGGAGATTTTGTTCCGACATTTAATGACACATTCTGGCCAAAAACCGTTCCAGTGCCAGCATTGCGATAAGAGCTTCACGCAGCGAGAAGCACTTAAGGTGCACATGCGTCGGCATCAGAAATTAAATCCGAATGATATTCAATTGCATCATTGTCAACTTTGTCCAAAAGCTTTCTGTCACGCGTCGGGTCTCAGCAGGCACTTGGTTACGCACACTGGTAGAACGTACAAGTGCGTCGAGTGCGAGAAGACATTTACAGATAAAAGTTCACTGCTAAGACACAGTCGTATCCATGCACCCAAGAAAATCATAGCAAATTGAGCAATATTTGCTCAGTTTGTTGTGATTTTCCTGGGATCTAGTGGGTATGAAAAATTCTTTCAAATTTTTATCTGTGTCGGAATTAGACCTGCAGTGAATATTGTCTATATTAACGAGAAAAATTTTCAATCTAGATTTTTCAAGTTTTTTGTGTTTATTTCATTGAGACGGGCTTAATTGTGTAATCTTATATATAATTCATACATTTAATGTTAAGGAACATTTAACGTATATTTATTTTAGTCACTTTTGTATAAATACTAGCAAATCTTATCATTTAAAAAACTTACCCAAAAAATACAGTAAAATAAGATTCCTTAGTATTAAAAAATAAAAGGTTACAAAAGGGCGTTTAGGAATCGGCGTTTTTTTACCCAAACAATCTATCTGTATGTACACGAAACGGAATTTAAAATGTAAAAATTAAAATATTTAAAGCAAAAAATATGAAAAATTTTGAAAATAAGTTAATTTTAATATGAAACAAATACGACAAAATGAGAGTACATGTATAAAGAAGTATTGAAACATCTCGATTACTTCATTGCTATTTATACAAGAATGATTAAAATAAATTCAATATTAGTTTTAAGTTCCGAACATTTTTTATTCAATTGATATTTTTATATGCATAAAGGAATTATAATTTCGTATCACATTTTTCAATACTAGTGCAATTTAAACGAAGCATATGCGACATAAATGTCAGCTGAATATAGAATAACAACATTGAATACATTAATATAATTTAGCTTTCCCCTTTAGGCAGCAATCATATTCTTATATATAATTTTTATATTTGAAATATAAATGATTATGTATCGTATACTCTTTCCGATGTAAGTTTATGTTATCTATAATTGATGTATATAGTTCTAAATACAAAGCTATCTTAATGGAATTGTTTATGTGCACATAAATGCTATTCTATTGTGATTATTATCTTTATAATTACCTGGCTTCCTAAAATCTATTTTATGCTATATATAATCATTTATAAGAGGAATTATTTTAAAACAAAAGAATTACTTGACATATAAAAGGAGAAAAATATTGCAAAATCTTATGTACAATGGGAATAAGTTGCACTGACGAGTCTATCATGTACGTTTTATTTAAATCTACTTTACTGGATACGCTATGGTACTCTACTGTAGAAGTATTGCTACAATGTAGCAAAATGCGCGACAACAGGTGGAGCGTAAGAGCTATTTGATTATTCGGATTATTCTACATGTTATACATTTCGTTATATCGTTATACTGTAGAGTGACCGTGCAAATGGATATAAAAATGACTCGCTACATTCGCAAACTATATAGCCAGTCGCAGCGTCTTGTGCGACAGAGCTCATGTCATTTGTCGGGGAAAACATTCACAGAAATGCAATATTGGTCCATTAAGTGCAAATTATGTTTTGCGTAAATTCTAGGAAGATCGAGGATGTTTATCTATGTAATGGTGCGGTAGTACACAAAACGACAGAGAATGCTTTTATTAAAAAATCCGTTTTATTATGTGTTTTTTTTTAATGATTCTGTGCACTATTACATATTGCCGAAATCGTTTTCACGTCGCAAATCGCATCATCACATCAATTCTGCCAGGTGATTAAATATTTTTTTTTACAACGGTTTCTTAATTTTTGTTTGCTATTAAAATCCGACAATGTCGGACAATATACCAAAGAATAATGAAAAATTCTACAACAGTTTCGAGCTCCGTCACACGGTCTGTGCTGGACCTCTACCGAGATTAGATTTTCAATTTCGCATCTTTTTATAATATCTGCTGCAATTGTTCTATTTAGTTAAAACAATAGCAAAGGGGGAAATGACCGTACATTCCATGGAGCTATTAAGTACATTGCATAGTTACGAATATTCGTGTATCTATACCTATACTATAAAATGATGTGAAATTTAATTTCATTTACGAAGCTGTAGACTCTCTACTAATCTGATGATTTTTTAAATACTCTGAGATATTTAATGATGATTCTACTCTAATTGATAATGTATTCGATCCGATATTATGTTGTAACTATCTTTCGTAAAACTCATGAACGTGACGCGTTCATGACGTGCAAACGTCATTTCCTTCTTTGCTACACATACATTAAGGATACACTGTCAATTTACACTTCCTTTTCCTCTTCAACGATTAATAATTCTAATGAAGATACGTACACGAAAGATCGATCGGTAATTCGATAGTGTCATTAATGAAATAAAATACTTTACGTAAATCAGCGGTATGTGATTCATGCATTCTGATTAAAAAATTGGCTCGTTTATGTCCATTTTTATCAATGTAAATTAACTTTAACTTACACTGGTAAAAATGAACATTAACTGATCAAGTCGGAGTATCGAACTTTCATGTACGTGCGAGGGACTAATACAGCTAAAAATCTATAAGATCTGCAGTTACATTCCCGAATCTGAAAACACGTACCGAGATATGCGCTTGTTTATACATTTTTTTTAAAGATGAAAATTTTATCTACTACAAGTTCCTTTTCTTCTTACTTGTTTGCAAGTAAATAGCATCAGCATGTAATTTGCTGTTACTAGACTGACAAGAAATATTTTAATGAGCTTTTAATACGTTATAGTCTAGACCAAAATAAGAAACATATTTTTTATATGTGATCATATGCCCTTTTTAGGGAATAAAACACTTTGATGAAATTCGACTCTATAAAAGATATGAAAAAAATTTTTTTATAAAAGTTGTGTGAATGATCTGCAGTATTTTATAATGGTAAAAAAATTTTTTAATAATTTCGGCAATATTCGCTTCGAAAGAAACCGATCGATTTTTGTGAGTGTTCCATTTTTAAAAGCGAGTATAATCATGTATAAAAAAACACACGTCTCTTACTTTAGTCTGGACCACACAAATTAAAACTCATCAAAATCGGAGGGAGACACTTCTTTGTGTTTTCTTGTGAATCACTCACATCAGTTTAAGAAAGAAGTTTTTAAACATCTAAACATGAAAATGCGCTTTATAATATAGGTTCAGTTCGCTCTTTTCGCAACGCTTTTTTTATAATGCGATGTAATGTATTGGATTGGATGTAATATACTGGATTATAAACGATATTTGTACTATGCCTGTCGTCACATATAATGCGGTATTCCATGGCAAAAAGAACTAGAAAGAGAACTGCCCATACCTAGTCCTCTCTATTGCTAAGTATTGGCGTAATCGATGGCCTCGATAATGGCTGCGGCACGGAGATCGAAGTATATCGCGGACGAAATTCTTTTCTTTTACTTGAAATAACACGGTTTTTTCTCCGAGAAAAAGGTAGAGAGGGAGATAGAATTAGAGAACGAGAAACAGATGTTCTATCAAATATCTAAAACCGAAAAACGCCAAAAACCAATTTAAAATCCATCCTCTCATCAATCGAAAACCAGCTTTTTTGGTTGCTCCCATGTGAAACCGTCTCGTCCAAAGTGACCGTATGTACTGGTTTGTTGATAAATAGGATTGCGAAGGTTCAGCTCTCTATAAAGAAAATAATATACTTTAATTAATTTTTTTATCCTCTTGGTTTATTATTAATGAATTATATATAATCATTGTAATATATCATGTGAGCAAAATAATATTTATTATAACAGTTTGTGTAATAAAAGTATTAAAATTACGAGAAAAATTAATTATACATACTTGACGATTTTTCCGGGCCGCAAATCGAAGTTCTTGTGCACTATGTCTAAGAGCTCGTTTTGTGAACGTGTGGATGTGCCATAATCGAAAACTGTGATAGACAATGGTTCCGCTACTCCAATGGCATAGGAAACCTAATACAAATAATCGCAAATTTTCTATATAATACAAAGTTATAGAATTTCACATTATAAAAGTTACAGAAATTGTTTAATTTATTTCAATAAAATCTTGGTGCTTGTAAATTTTACCTGTACGAGGCAACGTCTGCAAAGACCAGCTTTCACCAAGGATTTGGCAACCCATCTTGCAGCATATGCAGCTGATCTATCCACCTTCGTAAAATCTTTACCGGAAAATGCACCACCACCATGCGCTCCCCAACCGCCATACGTATCTACGATGATTTTTCGACCAGTAAGACCAGCGTCACTCTGAAATTTGTAATAAGAGTATATCAGAAAGAGAGAACACAACTTACAAAATATAATGCATATTTAAGATTGAGTAATATTGGCATTGTCATGTAATAGTTTGAAACATAATTATATACGTTTTATATAATTGTATATTAATTTTTTAAAATTATTAAAATATTGCAAAATATATATTTGAAGGATTATTCTCAGTTTAATTTTTAGTATCATAGCATTCAAAAGTAGCAAATATATAAAATACATCATCGAATAATCATCACTGTCTATGAACTTCATTTTTTTTGTACTTTAATGGTACCTGTGGTCCACCAATAATGAAAAGCCCGCAAGGATTCACATGGAAGACTGTTCTTTCATCCAAATATCTCGCTGGAATCACTTCTTTAATGACTTTCTCCATGACCGCCTTACGTAACTCATCTAGACTAATTTTTTCACTATGTTGTAGTGACACGACAACAGTATGGACTCTTATAGGTACGCAGGTTCCATGGTCCATGATGTATTCACAGGTTACCTATCACATACGTAATCACACACGTTTGATACATAATTGTTTTTTGAATTATTAATGTATTGCAAAAATATATTTGATGGATTATTCTCAGTTTAAATTTTAACATCATGGCACTCACGAGTAGCAAATACATATTCATCTTCGAATAATCGTCATTGTCTATAAACTTCATTTTTTAATTGTCTCTAAGCATGAAAAGTATCGCGAATGATTAGATTGGAAATCTCCTAAAAATTTTTTAAATCCGGTAAATACTTTTCTATTTGTTTTATCATATCAAATTTAAACTCTACGCTTTGCAAATTAAGATAAATAAAAAATACGTATGCAGATATATAAAAATCAAACCTGTGTTTTTGAATCTGGACGAGCCCACCACAGTTCGCCACTTCGTCTTAGCTCGGCGATTTTCTGATTCAATTTATGCGCCAACACGACCGTTAGTGGCATACATTCATCCGTTTCATCAGTTGCGTATCCAAACATTAGACCCTGGTGGAAGAATTTGAGTTATTCCAGCTAAAATTTACGAGATATAAGCTTCACAAGCAAAATATTGTACATATAACTTTAAATATATAGATCAGTTATTTGAAAATATGTGCCGTCAAAACATAAAAGTATATTTTTGTGCATGAAATAAAAGAAAGTTTAAATAAAAATAGAAAAACTTTTGTGAAGAGTAAATTATTGCATAATATTAATATACATGTATACAAAACTATAAAAAAGCAAGCAATAAAAAATAATGCAGTAAAGGGTGCCACACACAGAACAGAACATATAAATATGATAGAAGGGAGATATTGTCATTAACAGTAAAAAACTATTTATAAGATATTTACATCTCACCATTAATAACACAACCAACCAATTAATTTAATTACATAACAACTACCTAACAAATTCGATTAGGATTATGATCTCAGCCAGATTAATTTTATTTAATTTAAATTATTTAACAATATTTACATTCTCGACTACAAAATAGAATCATATTGAAGTGATTATTCTATGGGGATATTATGGATCCATATATAGTAGTGTAAAACGTATGTTTTCAAATTTACATAAACTTTCATGCATAAACTGTACTCTATACACTCACCGACGAGATATTATTAAAGACCGACATCCTTATGGGAGTTCGCGTTCTTGTTAATATTGAAGTAATTAAGAGTAAAAAAACTGATAATATTGTACTAATTTTATGATTTATTAGTTTAGTAGACGTGTTTATCGGTGTACGTGCATTTAAAACTCAATAATACTCGATTTTTCTTTAAAATTGTGATTTCAGTGTTATCGTCAAAGTTCGATTATCAACAGAGATAATAACTGCAGAGAAAAAAATTGTAATTTTTCGGCAATATATAGGATATTATAGCTTTACAAATATGCATATTTATTTATAGAGCATTTATGTAATAAAATATCATGA